CAGAGCATCACTTACAGGAGGGATTGTGTCCTGTCTATTAGCTTCTTTTCTATTTTCTTTGCTTTATGCTCCCACCCCAAACAAGACATCCTCTTTTTTTTTCAGTTTGGTAGCTTTGGCAGTTTGGTACTGTCAATTCCTCCGTAGTACAGACAGTTACCTTCTGGAGTGCAGCAATACTGAATTATCAGACCAGAATCTCCACATAATCAATAAAAGGAGACAGGCAAATCAACAAAAGGAGGCAAGCAGATCGTGTTATTGCTTTGAATTTCTCCTGAGAAGCAACTATGTCCCTCCACTAACTGCACAGGGAGCGCAGCCATTTAGCACAGGTCCTCATTGCCAGGCTTCTACTTTTTTAATCTTAGAGTATTTATCCCAGACATCTAAAGAAGGAGGTCACAATACTACTTTAATTGAGTTCATGCCACTTGCAAAGCCAGCAGAGTCTTATTTCCTAGCCTGGTGGACAGCCACACCACTGCTCCCTGCCAACAGCTACTGTGGAATCTCTGAAGTTTCAGAAACTCATCCAAATGCTGCTATGCTTATAGCAGCTCCTTAATTTTAACAGTGGCTCAAAAAGGCTCTTCTCACATATGATTTCCAACATTGTCACACTGAGTTAGACTGGGTAGTAGAGAACCATTATGGAAAGATGATAGAGAATGGGAAGCTCAAGAATTTAAGAAAATAAATAACTAACAGGTGTGTTACCTGGTCAGCACAGCCTCTGGTGGAAGGTGTGAAAAGGGGACCACATCTAGCTAATTGCCAGCATTTCCTGCTGCCTTTGCTTAGCCTCACAGCCTGCCATGGAGCACTTCAGGCCCATGAATCCCATTGCACTTTCATCTCCTCTCCCTTCTGTGTCCCCTCCCACCGGCTACAGAGCTGGAGAGAAACACAGTCTCACAAGCAGATCACATGAAATTTATGAAGACTGAGGAGAGTCTCGTTTCGGTGAAGTACTTTGTCTCATCCTTTCTGAGGATCAAACACTGATGTCCATGCACTCTAGTTTCTACAGCAAGGACTTCAATGTAAGTATACCTGACAGAAGCCTTCACGATTTGTCTCCCAAGAATATTCTTTCCTAGTTAGTACAGGAAAAACATACAGTTACCGAAAGCACCAGAGTAGTCCTGCCAGCACTTTTCGTTCCCTGATATACCCCGCCTTGGGTGGGAGGCATATCAGACATGAACTAGTCTTTGCCATGTCTCACCCCATCTCTTCTATGCCATTTCAATTACCCCAACGAGGGACTACATAACCCTTATGACACTTTAAGACTGAAAACATGACCGATTACATACTGGAATTGTAAGAACGAATTTGAGGCCTTGGCAGCAGTTCTCCATTCTGTGCTCTATCACACTGCAGCCACAGCAAGGTTTCTCCATCTTCACAGAAGTACTGCCTAAGCAGATCAGCACAACCAAAGTCTACATTGCATCCCGTGTAACTTGCTGAATATACAGAGGTGTTATTTCACTGACAGAACAAAATCCCACAGGCTTTAGATATAGGTGACATACTGAATATCATGTATTTGTATTGTTTCACCATGCATAAAAAGAACGCAAACATCTTTTCTAACTACAACACAATCAATTTCCTTTTCGAGTCCCTTTTAGATGTAGTCCTTCATATGGCAAAATATAAAATGTATGAGAAATACAGCATTATAAATATAGAAATGCTATACCTGGAAAGTGGGAGATAGACTTTACCATCAACAAATGAATCATCTGCTTCTCTCCCTGGAGTTGTATGTATGTCTTTTGTATTTTTAGTACCTTAACTAAATGTTAATTATGTGCTTTGCTTTGTGATAAAGAGCAATTTTCCTGGTAGCCAACAGGCATAGAAGATTTTTTATTCTAGGCTCCCCTGCCCCTTAACCCTTTACATCTTGGGCTGCAAACCCCTTCCAAGAGTTACACTCATCTCTTTTAACAGGACAGAAGTCTAAGGACTGAATAAAATGACTGAGACAGCCCTTCACAGATAACAGATAGCAGACTAGAAAAGTGAGTCAGTAGTTGTGTCTTATTAAGAGCTAGCCTGCTCCTTCTTCATTCCTCCCCTTACACACCAGCCTGGCTCCCCCCGGTCCTGTGGTAGCTCTGTAGTCACTACGCAGAAGTGCCACTGTGGCATGGCAGCATCTCTAACTTTGATTCCCTTCCCTGTCTCCATCTCAACTTTTGTCCTTCCAACAGCATTTGGATCACAGGCCAGCTGAAGTTAGGACTTGCAATAATCCTTGGGTGTCAGACCACGAGAATGAAAAACATCATTGGTAGCCTGCAATACTTTTTTTCATGGAGACAAAACCACTGTGCACTAATGCAGTCGCCTGATATCAAGTAGTTGTATCAGAGCAGTACGAGGCTGCTATGTAACACCATAATAAATGTTGTGGAGTCAACGACACTTCAATTTGCACAACTTTTTTCGTGTATCTAGTCTACAAATATTTATTCCCTGTGAGCTGCTTCTCGTGTTGCCAAGGAACCTCAGGCATGAAAAACCACGTTTTGCCTGACACAGGACCTAAACCAGTAAGGGGTCTGTGGTTTCTAGTTATAGACAAAATTAGTTTCTCAGGATTAGGACCTCTGCATACATCTTTTATGTTGTCCTGAACTACATCATCATTGTTTTGTTAACATTAAATATGCTCTGATTCTGACACATATTTATTAGGACCTCAAGTTCCCACACTGGTCGACATGCATTCATACACATATCTTTCTTATTCATACTCATGCTGGCCAGAGCATGGCCAAGTTATGGATCTCAGGCCAGACTTGAGATTAATTTCTCCTAAATTAAAATGCTTACATGCCTTTAAACTACTGATTTCTTTTCACTGATAATAAAAGCATTAAAAGCCAACACCATAGATATCTAGAGGTACATGAGATTAATCCTGTTCTTTATCTCATTGGTTAGCTTTGAATTCTCTTCTGAGAGCTAGATCCAGGAGATGGACATGAGACAGAGTCCAGAAAGTCCTGAATCACAGAGCTGGTCACTCCCAATACTAAATAAAGACCAAGGGCAAGCATAACTGCAATTTTGTGGGGGAACAATGCATTTATGGTAGTGCTTCTTTTTATCATGTCTGTCCAAAACCTAATCACAAAACAATTGGCCAAAACAATTCCTAAGGCTGTGGTTGAGAAAACCTCTGAAGTTTTCCAGAATCTTCTAATCCAATGTAGTCTATAAGAGAGAACTGTTGAGCTGACATTGGCATAGCCAATGCCATGAATCTTACATTTTCACCCACGTCCTCACAGCACGGATGGCAGTGTTGATGTTTCAGCTGTTTTAAGGACCACTGACAATTAACTACTATTGCTGCTTAGGGCAGCATGATACAAATTGCTAGCTGTGAGAAGCTTTATGAATGATCATAGATCTTGTGCTGTAAAACCCAAAAACCTCATCCGGTCTATAGGAAGAATTTTGGTCATTAACAAAAAATTGCTTCAAAGAAGGAAATCCTCTGGAGAATGAATGAATTAGAAATCTCAATTCTGCCTAATATTTTATGCACTGTACCTAACTTTCACGTTGTCGTAAGTGGCATGGTACTATCATCAATATTAAAAAATGCATAAGGGGGACACTGAGGGGGAAAGGAGCTTCTTAAATATTTATGGCAGAAGCTCAAAAATATGTGAATTCCCAGTTTTAAGACACATGCTATAACTGTTAGGCCATGTAATAAGTAAGGTAATAGAAAGATGGGGCTGAAAGCCCTAAGACTCTGCTAATGGTTTACAGTTAATTCTTGGGTGTATTGTGAGTGCAGTTCAACCAGAATGCAGTGCTAGTGGCCAAATATTAATAGAATGATTGTTTTCAATATAAGAAAATGCCCTTTAGGGAGTATTTTCTTTTCTAAGTGATCTTAGCCCCATCATATGTGAATTCCCAGTTTTAAGACACATGCTATAACTGTTAGGCCATGTAATAAGTAAGGTAATAGAAAGATGGGGCTGAAAGCCCTAAGACTCTGCTAATGGTTTACAGTTAATTCTTGGGTGTATTGTGAGTGCAGTTCAACCAGAATGCAGTGCTAGTGGCCAAATATTAATAGAATGATTGTTTTCAATATAAGAAAATGCCCTTTAGGGAGTATTTTCTTTTCTAAGTGATCTTAGCCCCATTTTTTTTTTTTTTTTTTTTTTAAAACCACTCACCTACCTCATTCTGACTGTGGCACCAGCACAATAAGGATAACAACAATTAATGGAAACACCTGGTATTTGAGAAATATATAGCTCAGATATCTTACATTAGAAAATTCCTTTCCATGTGGCTTAGAACACATACGTTTTGCCTGCCTGTACCAGCGTTATTTGTGCCTCACATCTCCAATCATATGTCTTTAACTCACCAGTCAGAATAAGTAAGAATAAGATGCAGAGAATCTCCCACCATCTCCTACAGATTTGCCTTATCAGAGGTGGACTTGGAGACGTTACTGTTAACACTATCTCATTAGCTGACTTTACCCAATAAACAGCCATCAAGGAAATCCTACCATGCAAAAAAGAGGAAGACTAGACAGAACTGGGATACGTCACCTGTCCCATGCAAGGAAAATCCTCATAACTCAAGTCCACACTTGGTACTATTTCCAGTAGTTTGCCTGAGACTTCTCACATGCAGCAGCAGCATTTTCTCCCTTAGGAGACAAACCATACTTAAAGAAACTCTGGAACCTGAAGACAAGGACTTCAAAAGGCTTAGGGAGTGAAGTGGCAGATGAAGAAGGTAAGCTCATAAAATGAAGGTGGAAAAGACTGGAAGGAAACAATCGGAGAAAAAAGCTTTCCTAGCATGCGGACTGGAACTTAGCATTGGGAAGACTAACAAGGGCAAGGGAAGGTCTCATGGAAACATTGGATTTTGTTCTAGTTCTCCTGCACACCTTCAGCTCTGTGTAACTGAGATCAGAAAATTCAGCTTACCTCGCTCACATGTTCTACCCCAATAGCCGGTGCCAGTGCAGTCGCAAATGAAGCGGTTCCAGCCATCCTTGCAGACTGCATTATTCTTACACGGGTAGCTGTCACACTGCTTGGTGCTGAGGCGGGAGCAGGAGGACTTGACTCCTGCGGCGTTCTGCGCCTCTGCCAGCTGCCGGATGTTCTTGCTGCGTCCATCGATGAACAAGTCTCGGATACAGCCAACATAGCCATAGTTCAGCATTGCTGTCCAGAGCTCTGTAGGAAGGATGAGCCCTGCCCGGTTCTCAGGCAGCCCACCGAGGTACATGTCACCTTCCAGATCTAGGATCTCACTCTCCCCACTAGCGGTGAATGGCGTGCGTCTGCTGTTCACTGATATAGTACCTAAATGAGGAGGATAAGGAGACATCGACACTTTCACTTACAGCCTCAGTCTAGTTCATATTTTTCCAATAACTGAGTGAGGTTTAAGGTTCAGTGCAGGAGAGTGAAGATTCCTCCCTACCCAAACGCACTCGAAACAGAGACAGCTCCCTCTCCTCTTGAGCCAGACCATAAGTATTTCCATGCAGTGACTAATCATCATGTGTCTGTATCCCAACTTGCATTATAAGGTCACAAGCATAACAATGCAATGGCTAAATAATAACATGTAAAAACTGAGCATTATTCAATGGTATTCATCCAGCAAAGCAAAGACTTACTGAGAACATACAGGAGTTGGATGGTATCGAGACTGGAGAGAAAAAAAGATAAGTAAAAGCATATTAATTCACACTACATAGCTCTTCCAGAAAACACTTCATCAGTACCTCCAAAGCTGGAACTGGATAATGGAACTCAATAGTTCAAGTTTGTAGATGACATCAAATTGTGGAGAATGGTTGATGCATTGGAGGAAGCACAGGGCTACCATTCAGAGAAGCCTTTACAAGGTGGAACAAACGACTGATAGAAATGTTTGATGTAAATCAACAATAAAAAGTCCTACACTCGGGGCAGAATAACCTCACACATAAGTACAGGCTGAAGACCAGCTGGCTAAGGAGCAACTCTGCAGAAAAGGACCTGGGGATATGGCAGACAACCTGAACATGAGTCAGGAGTGTGCACCTGCAGTGGCAAGAGACACTGATCACAGGCTGCAGCAAAGGAAACTCCAACCCCACAGAAAGGAACATTTTTCACCATGAGGGTGGTCAAACATGGGAACAGAAACCTCAGAGAGGTTGTGGAATCACCATCCTGAAGGCATTCAAAACACAACTGGACACAATCCTGAAGAAAGCCTAGATTTCAGTAGAGTTTGGACTAGAAATCTCGAGAAGTTTGTTCCAAAATAAATTATTCTATGGTTTTACAGATGAAGTTAAGTATTCTAATTTCCATTTTACAAACAGGAAAATTGAAGTAGAGAAAGATAAAAGTTATCTCTGAAGAACAGTTATTATTAAAACTGTAGTAGCTTCCATATGCTCCAAGCAAGATGTGGGCAATACTGCACTGAGGCCATTCCGGTGTATTTCAAGAAATTGCCCCAGCACATAAAATAATCAGAACTTATAATACAGAAATATAATCAGAACACATGAAACAGGTGCAGAGAAGCAAACTGACTTGTTGAAGGTCAGACAGTGCATCCAAAGAAAAACAGGGAACATAACGCAAGTCTCTCACATCCCAGAGCAGCGTACTCTTCAGAAGAGTATTCAGTAGCTTTCGTGATAGGGACGTCTGCCCACCAGACACTCAGCTAAAAATCAGCAATTCACTCTCCCTAGCTATAAATCATTGCATCCAATTGCCTTGTCATTAAGATAGTCTGTCCTCAGAGACAACTATCCAAGCTTTAAGATTAATTCCACATCATTGCATTTTTATCGTACACCCCTACGATAAGGTGGGAGAGTTTAGTTAATAGAGTTAGCTCTGTTTTGTGTCTCTGTAAGAAAGTGCAGTCATGTACACATGCTTTTTCTTCAGTTGTAATAGGTGTCGTCTTAGAGAACAGCACGTATGACACAGACACAAGGTATTTCACGTGTGTGATGTTCAGTAATAATTTAGGAATAATGTCAGAGGCAGGAGAGTGCCAGAAGCAACAGAGGCGTTACAAATTAAAGGCTCAAAGAGAACCAGAGTTATTTGATGAATCATTTTGTAAAAACAAGCTGCAGCATGGCAGACATTTTCCCTTTTACAAAGTAAGAAAAGAGAAGATGTGACAATACACCTACAGTCGTAAAGGACTGTACAGCGTGTCATGGAGCCACAGAATCACAGCCCCCCTTCCAGCATCTCTGCTGTTACTCCTCAAAAGCAGCATGGGGAATACATATTACTCAAAAGACTAGAACAAACAAAAATACCGGAGGGCTGAGCTCCAGGCAGCTGCTACTATGGAGAAAAAAAACATCACCTGCAAAAGCCACAAAGATAAAGGAAACCCCCCAAAAGGGAAGAATTACTGGATACCAAGAAGTGCAAAACCTGGAGAAAGAGCATGAGATGATGAAAGGAAATAGGCTAGACCGCAGCCTAAACTTTCTGCCAGTGTTTTGTACCCTGCAGCTATGCCTGTAAGAAGATGGTACTAGCTCAGATGCACAGCACTTTTAAGACCAAGCTGCTGAAATGGAGAAATTCTGAACTGACCCTAGGAAGGAGCAGCCACATGAGCTGACATCTTCCCCCCACCCCCCATCCCATGTTTGCAACTCTGTTTAGGTAGATCAGATCCCATCTTGAGAAGTCAGAAGCATCTAAGCATCTCCTTTCCAGTCCCTTAGGCACTTTGTGTAGGGCTAAAGAACAAACAGACCAAAAGACCCCAGTAACTGAGGGCAGAGCTGGTATACAAAGCAGTGCCTTGGTGCAAATGTAGACCAAACCTTCCAGTAAGATTTTTAGTGTCTGAGTGGGTGGAACATGCGTGTTTTGTCACCGATAACCAGCCAAAAGCATTGTTTTGTGTAATGTGCTCAGCGCTTCCCAGCTAGAAACTGTGACAGGTTTTGTGGACACTTTGTAGGAGCTTTCCCCAAGGACAGAAAGGTTACAGGATGCTAGGTGTCCATGCTCTCATCTTCTCTCAGAGTACAGAGGAAAAACAGCTTTTGTTGCTCTGGCAGCCAAAACAGCCCAAAGCACACACAAAGCCTAAAGGGACTAGAGGTGCCAGAGGTTATTTGAGCACAACTGCCATGCTTCCCCAACATTTGCACTCCTGCCTTAATACTTTACAGTGGTGAATATTTGGATTTTTAGGCTATTTTACTAAGCTCAGCAGAGCCTGAAGTTTTGGACTGTTACAGAAATGGGAAGAAGAAGGGGAGAGATGACACCTAATAAAGGCCTGGCTGCTTTAGTAATGAGAATCAGAACCTCTAGGTCACTAGCTCATTAAACCCAAATGGCTGTTTTGTAGCTTACATTAAGTAAGTTTGTTATTTCGGTTCAGTTTCTAGATGACAGGCATCCACATTTTAAAAAAAAAAAAAAAAAAATCTTCAAGATGCAACCATTCTCTGGTCCACATGTGGGAGAAAAGCTAAGGACTAAACAAGAAGAGATCCCAAACTTCCTTCTCACACCTACCAAAAGTACCACTGAATAAGAGTAGTTGATGCTTGCTAAAGGTATGGTGTGAAGAAATCAATGCCAGTATCCTGTTTTTCTGGGAAGACAAGACATCAGCCACTAGGACCATTAACCCAGTACTCATCGTCAGCAGAAAATGCTATTAAAAAAAAAAGAAAAAAAAAAAAAAAAAAAAACAGAACATACAAATGT